GCCCGGAAGCCCGGAAGCCGAGGCCGACCCGAGCCTGCTCCAACCCCTTCCCTCTGAAACAAGAGGCGCGGCGGGCAGAGGGCGGAGGGGTGCCGGGCTTGTCGGACCCCCAGCTCAGCCCGGTCGAGGGAGGGCAAGGGAGCCGGCTCCGGGGCTCGGGGACTGCGCAGAGGTGGCCGCGGGGAGTCCCGGGCGCACCCGGAGTTGGCCCCGAACCTGCGCCCCGAGAAGTGACGCGCGCAGATTTGCGTCGCCGGGGCATTTCCTGCCGCGGTGCCGGCCGCGTCGGAGGGGTCTGGACGAGGTAGCCCCGGCGCGAAAGGCCAGCCTGAGAACGCATTTCGTGGAGAACAGTTGTGCTGTTAAACTACCCAGAATTAAACAGGGCTTGTAAAGTTCGTCCGTGTAGCAGAGGACTAAATCCCTACACCAAAAAGCGCTGGCTCTGAGGGTGCGCAGGCACTAGAACAATTTAAGGTTCAGTTTCGTCCCCAGTAACGATTGCATTGCCTGCCTTACCTGACAAAAATAAAAACGAGCTCACATCAGGATGCGTAAAGAGAATGGAAACATACATTTGTTCATTCAGTAAACATTTATTGAATATTTTCCACATGCCAGACGATGGGCTCTGGAGCACAGTATTCAGAAATTAAGGAGTGTACTGCCTTCGGGGAGACAGGACAGCAAAAACAGAAAGAATACCAAATTAACCTTGCCACTACACCTTACAATTCTTAAGAGAAATGAAGGTAAACTTAACAAAATACGGAGGAAGATAAAAGCATCGGTAAGATTGGGAAATATCTTGAGAGGTTAAAGAACATGGTATTAAGAAACGAGAGTAAAACCTAGTACTCAACGTTTAATTTAAAAGATACTATAACTTTTCTCGTCCAACAAAGAAACTGAAGTAAAAATAACTCCTTGACCCCCAGATTATTAAAATCTTCACCTGGCACAAAAGGAGGCCAGGAACTCCTCATTTCTGCAACCATTTATTGGAGGAGCATAGCTGGGATAATAACCCTGCGTTTACTTGTATCAGAATTCTGGACCACATTATATACCATCCCTTTAATCCTGTGATCACAAAAACTCCTGCTGAAGAAGTCCCAAGGCATTCTCTGAGCAGAAGTGAGTACAGCCCCACCTTCACTGGCTGTCTAGAAGCAGGAGCCCCGTGGACCCCTCTGAACAGATCATCCCAGGGTTCCCATGGGGTACTTTTATATTCTTACAATGTTACAGAAAACTTAAATATTTTGATGCCACAATAGGAATCTCATTCATAGTGTGTATATCTGCATTCTTAAATCTGTTGTTCATCTCTAGCCATAGTCTTAATTCTCTGATAGACTGGCTCTGTACAAGTTTTTAATTCATATTGATCTTCATGTTATCAAAAGGATAAATTTAAGTGAAAAATAATTTCAAAGTAACAATACTTGTCACTTAAAACAGAAGTATTTGTTGCTTAAAACAGGAGACAAAAAGCTACATGAGTTATAAAAAGCTCCAGTTTTGGTCTCAAGCGAATTTCAAGACTCATATTTAAAAGATTGACCTTGCTTTTTATTCATTTATTTTTTGGTTTATCCTATTTCATGTTGGGTATAGAATGCACATTCAGCTAGTAGAAATTTTCTTTTCACTTCTTTTTTAACATCTCTAAATCACTCCACAGAACCTCCACCTTGGGAGGCTGAGGCAGGTGGGTCACTCCAAGTTCCAGGCCTGCCTGGACCACACAGTGCATTCAAGGCCAGCCTGAACTACATAGCAAGACGTTGTCTCAAAAACAAAAACTCTAAAAAAAAATAATAAATCACTCTACAGTAGGTTTAAGGTTCTGCTGAGCATTCCCTTCCTATTTCTATGACTTTTTTTAAAAAGATATTCTTTAAGAAAGAAAAATAAATTCTACACCTTTCAGGTAAAATTCTTTTTATATATATATAATTTCCACATTGTAAAATTTAGTGTGTTATAAGATGTTACATTATTCTTATAAATTACAATCTGAAATTCAGAGAAGTTTTTACATGGTAAATGAAGAGCCATAATTTAAGTAGGGATCTTTGAAGATCCAAAATGCATGTGTTTTCTGTTATACCACCTTATCTCACACTGTGAACTAATAAATGCTTCAATCAATGATTCTACCCAGAAGTAAAAGCAGAAAGGGACTGAATAATATATGAAAAGAAAATCTCAGACTGGTCCTGGGGGTTAAAGCAAATTTACAAGGAGTAAGATTAGCTGCAGAACACAAAGAACCAAAAACTAAGATTAAATTTATTCTGACCTCTAGCTGGCTTAAAGTTAAGTATATTTCTCCATTGTTCCTAGAGACCTTGTTGAACGGGAGGAAAAACTGAAAAGGAGTGGAGTTAGTTTTAAAGTATTTCAGCCAGGCATGATGCTGCACGCCTATAATCCCAGCACTCGGAAAAATGAGGCAGGAAGATCACTTCAAGTTCTGCGTCAGCCCAGCTACAGGCAACTTCATAGTGAGTTCAAGCAAGACCCTATCTCAAAAGAGAAAGAAAGAAGTCTTTCATTTACATGCTCCTTCAGACCAGTAAATGTGGGGAGAAAGGTAGGGTTGGGGTAGGAGAAGAGTAAAAAACCACGGTCTGGGCCTGGGGACCAGAGAGAGAGGCAACCTCTCCCGCTACTCTGAGCTGAGGAAATGCAGGCATGTCCAGGTACACAGAGGGAAGCAGAGCCAGCGGACAGGAGGAAACAAGGAGCTCACTGTGGACATCGTCCTTCCTCTCGGTGGGACATCAGAAACCTTCCATGGCCACTAACAAGACTGGCCCTCCTGGGGTCAAATCCTGAGCCCTGTGCCCACCCAGCCTCCAGCCGAGCCATGCCCCCACCCTGAGAGTGTTCTTAATTTTTAAACTGAAACTCCTATACACAAATCCTCCAAAACTTGTCATCAAGGCTCAGAATTACAACACTAAAAACCAACTAAGCAGGCTAACCTACCCAGGTTTCTTAAAATTAAAGGCAGAGAATAGGGGAGACAGCTCGGCGGCCTAAGCACTTGCCTGGCGAGGACCCGGGTTTGGTCCCTGGTACTGCATGCGGAGCCCGCGCCAGAGCCCAGGGCACACTGTGCAGGCCAGAACCGGTTCCAGGCGTGCTGGCACTCGCCTGTAATCTCAGCACTGGAAAGGCTGAGACAGGAGGATCACTGGGAGTCTAAACTGTGCATTGAGACCCTGTATCACAGTGTGAAACTTAGCTGAAAACCACGTTCAGATTCCTGACATTTCGCACTCTATAAGTAACACCCCTCCCTACACATTCCTGTCTTATCTGGCTCAATTTTACATTTCTGTTTTCATAAAGTAAAAAGTTATTTTTTGCTCTTTTCTCATTAAGTGTCCCTTAAGGTTTTATCTTCCTCTATGCTAGAAACAGGTATTTTTTTTTTCTCCTTTCAAAAACCAAAAACTACCTCTTGAGTCTAAAAACTCAGCCTGTTTCCTTTTTGAAAAACATGTTCACTTCCCTTTTTGGGGGTTCCATTAGCTGCCCCCAGGCTAGTGGTGCAACTCCCAGCTCCTGCTAACTTCAGAAGGACTACTTCATTGCTGTTGTTATTAAAAGAAGATAATGCAAGTCACAGACATGCAGAAGCCTAATTCATCATGGTTCCCAGTCTAGTTTTTAACTGTTCTTGCTAAGAATTCAAAAGTCATGGGAAGGTGGTACCTTCCACCCACACTCCCCTCTCCCAGGCAGGCTGCAGACACCACCACGATTCTGGAACTGCGGTGGGGCAGGCAGATTCACTGGACCCTCCCCCCCCTTTCCCTTTGGGGCTTATGGTCACACCTTGAAATAAAAGCATTTTAGGGAATCATTACTATTTAGCTTTATTTACACTGGATAGTCGAGGCAATTTTTAAGAACAAAAAATGTTAAAATTCAGATAATTATATAAATTGAAGAATTTTAAAAATTGTAATGTTTTATTTGGTATAAGGTCTCATTTACTGGCTCAGTGCAGGGCTGGCACATATGCAGTACCTGGGATCGAACCTGGGTTTTTGCCAGGCAGGCACGTAGCCCTCCAAGCTATCTCCCTGGCCCTCAAGAATAAAATTTGAAATCAGATGTGATGTGCATGCTTGCAATCCCAGCACTCAAGAGGCTGAGGCAGCAGGATTGCCACAGGTTCAAGGCCAGCCTGGGCTTCACAGCGAGATCCTGTCTCAAAAAAACAAAGAGTTTTTTAATATGGAATACAGGCATACAGGCTACTGAGGCCTACAGAAGGTAAAGTTGAGTCCAATTTGTATCTGAAATCTGTAATTATAGTGAAAACTAAGGACACTAAATGCATGATCTACACTGTAACTAAGGGCAAAATTTCTTCATAAAGCTTTTCTTGAAACTGGTCTGAATAAGATTTATTTGAACAGAGTGACGTAATGCTTCTTCAACATCTTTACAAAATGCAAACAGCAGAACTCATTGTGCTGGGTTTTTTTTTTGTTTTTTTTTTTTTTTAACTTGGTCTGGTTTTGGACTACTACAGAATGAACTCAGGGCCTCATACATGCTAAACAAACTCTCTACTACTGACCTACCTGTCCCCAACTCTTCTTAAATTTTACTTTGGAGGTCAGGTGTTCTTCATTTGCCTAGAATGGCCTCAAATTTAAGATCCTCCTGCCTCAGCTTTCCAAGTAGAGGCAATTACAAGCGTACACCACCAAGCCCAGCTATTTCTTGACTTTAAGAACGGGAGGGAAATCATGTGTTTCCTCCAATTATATAGCTTACAACCTTCAACTCTGGAAGTTCAACCTAGAGTAGTAAGATAGCTGCTGGCGAAAACTTGGTTACTCATTATCAGCTGCAAACATCAGAAGAAGGTCAAACATTTTCAATGTGGACCCGCAGTGAATATTTAGGCATAAGTAAAATTTTCTAGGTGAAAAAAAGGTAGTAAGCACTCTCTCTCTCCTGTTTTGCATCTTATGCACGTTCGGATTGTTGCGGTGATGGCATTATTATTACTTACAGACCTGTAAGACATGACTTCCATACCTGTGCTGTCGTCTTCTTTGTAACCAACCCTAGGACAGTGCCCCATGCCCAAAATATAATCAATAAATGTTGACTGAGTTAAATAATACTGATGCAAAGAGAGACTAGATCTGAGAAATACTGAAAGTGTAATAGTAAGCTAGGGCCTGTAAGGTAGCTCAGTGGACTGAAGTGCCTGCTTAGGCAAGCGCAGCGACCCAGGTTTGAGCCACGGCACCACATGCCACACCAGACCCTTCCCAGGCGCGCTGAGCCGGCCTCTGAGACTGGGCGTGGCGGCGCACGCCTGTAATCCCGGCACTGGGAAGGCTGAAAACAGGAGGATCGCTATGAGTCCAAGCTGCATAGTGCAACCCTATGCCAAATACATAAAAATAGTAATTAATAATGATGATGATGATAATAATAATATAGTCTATAACTCTTACAAAGGAAAAAGGTTCAGAATGTAAAACCTGTCCCAGAGAACTGAATCTTCCAGAGGTCTCTGACTAATCTCATCCGCAGAAGTATCTGGACTTACTGTAGTACTTCGCATGCTTCGCCACTGCCCATGCACTGGGTCGGGAATCTGCACTGGCTAAGCACAGTGCCTAATGAATACGTTAAAACGTACCACCGAGATGGTACTGGCTCCTGGAGATCCGTCCCCTGAATCTGTAAGCGGTACCTCAGTTCACCAGCTCAGTTCTCTCCAGGATTCTGGCTGCAGGCAGAACTGGGTGAGAACCAAATCAAACCTCCCCATGAGGTCAACAGTGAGCCTAACCGACTTTGATGCTGTTAGCATCCCGCTTGCTTTGCCGCCACCACTGCACAAAGAATCAAGTCGTAGAATTTAAGGAAAACCTCTCTGCAACAGCCGCAGCTGGCTCTTGTGAAAATCATTCTGAAGCATTACACATACTGCTGCCTTAGGAAAGCCTATCGCACACTGCACCCAGAGGCCCAGGCCTGCAGCGGCCGATCACGCTGCACCGCTCGCGTCTACCCCAACTGTCATGCTGCAAGCTGTCTTCCTCCCTAGTGACTCCCCTCTATTATACCGGTTGCACCTGTGTACTGTCCCCTCCCTCTTCCCCCAGTTTCTTCCATTTCTATCTTTCCTTGCCTCTGATACTAATGGGGCTTCCTTTTTGTCACCCTCAGCAGCCAGTGAAGGCACACTTTCCATGCAGCTTTCAAAAACCCATCAGTCCCACCCTGGACCCCATACCTCGATGTGGCTTTCCCATGTCACCGACGGCCTTTCTGCTCTGCAGTTTTCTAACTCCACAGTCCAGGACCCTGAAGGTGTCCTATGCTGAATGTGGGGTGGATCCTAAAACCTCAAGTCACTATTTTACAGTTACCCCTCCTTCCTGATTCTTCTGTCCTTGCTCAATTTTCAAAGCACACTGCAGAATTATGTAGCAATAGGTTAAACAGGTCCTGCATCAGAACCTTCAAAGATTCTAGAAAAGAGAAAATCTGCAGACCAAGAAAGTAAAATAAGGGCCTCAGTGAAAAATGAAGTTTATAGTCCACTTACCTTTTTTTCCCCCACTTACCGTTAAAACTACATTCTTTTAGGCAACAAGGATTTGTATTTACTTTTTTTTTTTTTAATCTAAGATAGTGTGTCACTTTGTCACTCAGTGTGTATCACTTAGATACAATTATCACTGGGCTTGAATTCACTATGTAATCTAGGCTGGCCTCGAATTCATGGCAATCCTCTTGCCTCAGCCTTTCAAGTGCTGGGATTACAGGTATGCATCACACACCTCGCTATAAACTTAGATCTAAAAGTTAATAAAGATGCTACAACATAGGCTGTTTTTCTTTTAAAAATGTTTTTACTTTGGTTATTATCACTATGATTTTAAGAAGCATATAATTTAAAATAAAAATCCTTTCATCTATTAAGTCAACTATTTCTACTGTGTAATACAAATCTTTTTAAGAGTATGCATTTTTAGTTGGACGTGGTGGTATATGGCTGTAGTCCCAGAACTCTGAGAGGCTGAACCAGGAAGATCACAAGTTGGAGTCCAACTGAACATGAAAAAAAAAAAAAGAGGCTGAGGATGTAGCTCAGTGTGAAAGCCCTGAGTTTAGTCCTCAACAATGGTGGAGAGGAGGAGATATGTATTCTTGTGTCCCTCAAAAGTATACTTTCAGGGCTGGGGAGATGGCTTAGTAGAATAAGCGCATCCCTAGCAAGCACAAGGGCCTGAGTTCAATCCCTGGTTCCACCAAAAAAAAAAAAAAAAAAAAAAAAAGTATACTTTAAAAGTAAGATAATAACACTGAAAAACATCCAAATTGTTTTTTGTACAAAATCTGGTCTAAAAATCCCAATGCTAAAGCCAGACTGTAAACTGACTGCACAACACTGAGCTAGAACGTGCCCTACATGCACCCAACCCCAGGCTCTGAACCATTTTGCATACTGTAACAGCAAGTGTAAGTTACTTGCAGTACTTGCATGTTTCCTTGGTGTGGAAGTGTATGTGAGGTAGAGTAAAATGAAGCTAGGTGAAGATAACTTTGATTAGTGCATGGCAAGCCCAAGTGCAGGCCGGCAGCTCCACCACTTCTCC